CAGATGCCTGCAAAGTCAGCGAGGATTCCGACGATCGTGCCGACGCTCTTAGTTGACTGGCCGGTGTAGCCTAGACCGCCCATGACGGCGTAAATTGTGATGAGGGCGAGAACGGAGAGGAAGACGGCGAGCGTACGGGCGACGTAGCGCTTGTCCGAGCTGTAGTAGGTGTATACGCACAGGAACACGACGGCGCAGCACTCGCCGTACAGGAAACACGCGAAGACAGGGAACCACATACCCTCAATGTAGCCGTACATCATCCTGAAGACAAGGTGTTAGTAAAAAAAAAATTGAAGGGGCTTAACGAGACGTACGTACCAGACGTGGGAGTTTGCTAGAAGTGCAGCGAGAGGAAATACAGAAGCGACACCGACGTGTTTCTGTTGGTGGATGCGGTACATGAGCAGCGATGGACTGGAGACCATGCAGACTGTCGCCATGCCGGCGAGGATGCGAAATACGAGTACAGCAGTGCTAGACATGATCGTGGGGAGATTTTTTTTTGACTTTATGGCGACTCTAGGCGCACACGGCCAAATGAAGAATGAAAGTAGAGAGTGTTTTCGTTGGCCGAGAGGTAAGACAGCAAACCGTGTCGCCTTGTGAAAGAATTTGGTTTTTTTGTTCAGAAGTTTGGTGCTGTGGGTGTTGGCGAAGCCCATGGCTTGCCTTGTCTCACAGAGTCAGCGAGATTGTCGGAACAATCCTGTGGTCGTACAGGGTAATCACACGGTCTCTGCACGGCCTCGTCCAAGCAGTGTGATTCACACTCTTCGTCATCCGAAGATACCCAAGGCTGAGCCAGGGTCGCGATTTGACCCCCCCAAAAGCCTGCAACGCTCGGTTGTAGCGTGCTCCTCTCGTAAACGCTAGAGTCTACAGTCTTCGTCTCATATCGAGAGAAGTCTAAGCGTGCGGGCAGGATCTTTAGGATGTTTAGTGCTGTCTTCGACCTTCGCGTAAACCATGTCATGGGACGATCGCATCGTGTTTTTCGACAGGTGTACATGCACCGCAACAGTGATCACAACCTGCTGCTCTACTCACCGAGACAGTCCCAGGAGCAAAAGGAGCAACCTTTTCTCGAAAACCAAGTTGACTCATTCCCATATTTACCATCACCCGAACAAGTATAAAACATGTGCACTACCGTCTCGCTTTCAAAGCTGACCATTATACCAACGCGGTCTCTCAATCTATCGTCGCGGTCATTTCTGGAGAAGATCGATCACATCGAGATCCACGACACAGTGGAGCGCAACGGCGTCGTGTTCTACATCATAGATGTGTTTCTAACGCACAAGACTT